CAGTGATATATATATATATATATATGCATGGATGTATATATCTGTATAATTATCAAGTTTAATGGTTTGTGGCTCATTCATGAAAGGAAGTTCTTATAGGTTGAGGCCATTTTCCACACATACCTGGAGGACAGCCTAGGTAGCTGTAATATCGCTGATTTTAACTTTATTTCACTGTGTTAAAAAACAAAAACAAAAAACAAAAACATTGCTCTAGGCCAAGTGTCTGTGGCTTACCACTACAAGCCTAGCTACTTGGGAGTTTGTGCATGAACATTGCAGTTCAAAGCTAGTCTGGGCAGGAAAGCCTGTGAGACTTTTATCTCCAACTAACCACCACAGAGTCAGGAGGGGAACACAGTCCTTGAGTAAAAGCCTGAGACCAGCACACACACACACACACACACACACACACACACACACACACACACACACACACACACACACACACACACACACCCTGCTGCTCCAGTATTGCCTGCTTCATAATATTTTAAAAATACTCTCTAATTTAATTTTTTTTCTCTGTAGGTTATATGATCTTTTTGTCTGAGGTATTAAGGGATTTTATTTCTATAATCTAATCACTTTACAATGTTTGTCACAGAACTGATAGCTGTGATATTTCAATCTTGGTGATTCTAATATAAAAAAGTCAGATTGATGTGTTTTTCTTCACGGGCTTAAAAAAATCAATTTTCAAATATATCACTTGTTAAAGACCCAATAGTGATGAATGCTTTTATTTAAAAAGTGTTATGAACTCATGTACCTTCATGATTTATTTAATCTCCAGTGTTCTTTTGTAATGTATGTGTGCGCATGCCTGTGGGCCCCAATAGTGTGCTTGAACTCAAGGCCTAGGCTCTGTCCCTTAACTTTTTCACTCGAGGCTGGCGTCTACCACTTGAACCACACCTCTACTTCGGCTTTTTGGTGGTTAGAGATAAGAGTCTGATGGATTTGACTGCCTGGTTTGATTTCAATCATTTGGTTTGAATCTCTGCCTCCCAAGTAACTAGGATTACAGGTATGAGTAACCAATGTTCTTTTACACAAAGGCTGTATACACAACTTAAAACATACTGAAATCCTAATGTTATAAATTCTCTGTTTTATAAAAATAACCTTCAGATAGAAAGGTCAACATATTTTCTATAAAAACATTCAATTTCATGTGCTTTAGAAGAGAATTGTGTAGTATGGTTTTATTAATATTTGGAAGTTCCCAGGAATCTAGGAAATTTTATGCAACCATTTACTTAAATGGTATACTAATTGCCCACAATATATGCAATAAAATATTTTCCTTCCACACACTGTAAAATAAATGTTTGTTGAACTGATTGTTACATGGACCAGTGTTATGTGATCATGTAATGAAAGGCTCTTCTACAAATTAGACACACCAGGACAAATGAAAACTTACCATGGGATCTGTAACTCCCAATTGCCTGGCTTTTGTGGCTCAAACATAATTATGCTGCATTTACATAGTTTTTAAAAGATGTTTTACATAGGATTTATTTGTTCTTTCTAAAAAGGAAGAGAAGTAAAGCTATGTTGTATATGGAAGGGATTTAGCCTCTGTGGCTTCCCATATATTCCTTTTGCCACAGAACTAGTGTTTATACAGGGTTTATACAGGATACAAAATATATGTTTAACATGTTTGTAGAATAACATTGTTCCTCCTTATTTGCTTTCCTGCATATATTTAAGACATGTAGTTTTAACTGAGATGTAAAACTGCAAAGTGAAAAGTAATTGAATTGCTTAATCTTCTAGATCTCAATTAAAAAAAAGAACAACAAAAACAGACACTGGGCATTTCTTCTTTGAGCATTATGTAGATTTTAATTAATCACATAACATATCTTAGCTGGCCAAATGCAATATGTGCTTGATTTGAGAGCTGAATAAATGAGCTTGTAGAATGTTATTTGCTGTGTGAGGCAATATGTGGGTTTTTAAGTGAACCCAAAGCAATATTAAGCTTTGAATTTCTAAGATATAATCCATACATATAATGTAAGTGAACATACTGGTAACTTGCTAGGAGTGAGGGACTTCTTTATCTGTCATCACGCTGAGAATTAGAACATTTTCATTACCTCAGACACTGCTGGTGCTTCTCTTGATCAAGCCTGGTAGACAACTGGTTTGAGTAGAGCACCATTTGGGGGTCAGTTATTGGTATCTTCTTTTGTTTTCATTACTTTAAACTTTTAAAAAGCATACTAAGCTGGTGCTAGTGGCTCATGCTTGCAATCCTAGCTACCCAGGAAGCAGAAGTTCAAAGCCAACCTGGGCTAGAGTATCTGTGAGACTCCTATCTCCAATAAACCACCAAAAAGACATAGCAGTGGCTCAGTGGTAGGTTTCTAGCCTTGAACAAAAAAAAGCTAAGTGATAGAGCATAGGCCCTGAGTTCAAGCCACCCCCCCCCACACACACACATAGAAAAAGAAAGAAAGAAAGGAAGAAAGGAAGAAAGAAAGAAAGGAAGAAAGAAAGAAAGGAAGAAAAACAAAGAAAAGAAAGGAAAGAAAGAAGGAAAAAAGAATGGAAAGAAAGAAAAGGATGGAAAGAAAGAAAAGGATGAAAGAAGAAAGAAATTTCTTCATTTCTTCCTGAAGTATTCAGAATACTTACAGTTTCTATACAGTGATATCTAATACTTTGTTTTCTTACAACATGATACTGATAGGAAGCCATAAGCATAAAAAGTGTTTAAACTTGGGCTTCAAATACTTACTTTTAAAAAAGTTTTATTATCTTTAACAAGTTGTACAAAGGAGTTTCCATTTAAGAGAATGGTTTACAAATACAATGCATCTTGATCAGAGCCACCCCCAAATAATTTCTTGAGGTACCTTTCTTCTTATTAGAAATAATTTTTACTATTTACATCACCCACTGCACAAATTTATTCCAAGCTGATACCCAACTTGAAGCTTTTGAAATAATACCTTTTTTTCTTGGCAACCTCATCTAAAGTAACCAGGAAAATAGATTTTTTTTTGGGGGGTCCGGTTGTGGGGCCTGAACTCTGGGCCTGGGCGCTGTCCCTCAGCTCTTCAGCTCAAGGCTAGCACTCTACCACTTGAGTCATAGCACCACTTCCGGCTTTTTTCTTTTTGCTTATGTGGTGCTGAGGAATCGAACCCAGGGCCTCAGGCATGCAAGGCAAGCACTCTGCCACTGAGCCACCTTCCCAGCCCGAAAATAGATTATTTTTAAATGTCAATTTTCTTTCTAGGGTTGGTCCTGGGGCTTGATTTCAGGGCCTGGGTGCAGTCACTGAGCTTTTTTTTTTCAGTCAAGGCTAGAACTCTACCTCCTAAGCCACAGCTCTACTTCTGGCATTTTTGGTAAAGACTTTTCTGCCTAGGCTTTCAAACAGTGATTGCTAGATCTCAACTTCCTGAGTAACTAGGATTACAGGAGTGAGCCACCAGCTCCTGGCTTAAATTCCAATTTTCTTCTTCTTTTCTTTTCTTTTTTTTTTTTTTTGTTGGGGGGGGCAGTATTTTCTGTCATGTATTAGTTTTCCACCAGGTAATTCTATAGCTTCAAAATCTTTCCCTCAAAATTAAAACCAAAAAAATCAAAAGTTTAGAACTAAATCACGTGGCCCTTTTTCTTCTTGTCTCAAATACTTAATGTTCAAAATACTTAATGACCAGCATCCTCTTGGATCTACAGTTAGGTTCAACACATTCTAGCCTCAACACAATCTTCTTGATGGCTTTCAGCTTTCGTTTGGAATATTGGCTTGGCCTGCCCACCATAGCCACTCTGCTTCCAATCATAGTGCCTCTTTCCTTGGGCAATACAGGGAATCTTTGTCTTTTTGTGCTGGTCACTTTGTGAAGCTGGTGCTTGCCATACTTCCTACAGAAAGTCCTTCTGGTTTTGGGTACATTGACCATCTTTGCAGTAGACTGACAGGAGACTCGGAGACTATGACATGTACCTCACAATGCCTAAATTTCAATTTTCAAGGACGAGTTTGAATGGCCTTTAGGCTGGTCAAATTTTTTTTCTACCCATGGAGAATTGCTGCATGTACCTAATGCAATTGGAGAGGAAAAGTCAATGGAATTTGGGTGTTCTTTATCTTTTTTTCTCCCCTAATCTGCTTAGAGTTTAATATCTGTGTCTGCAACAAAGCCACATTTGTGGATATTAAGTTTTGTTCTGCTGCCTTTGCTTCAAGTACTCCATGGGCCGCACTACAAGGTTGTGCTACCACCTGGGCATATAAACAGATGACAGATGTTGCAGTGATTTCTCTGACAATATTCACTTTTCAGCTAGTCATGAAGTTATTTTGATTACAGTATGCTTAGGTAACTACCACATAGTCTGCAGTGTTAGGCTTGCTCAGAAGGGAGCTTGCAGAAAACGAGTTTTGTTTTATTTGTGCCCAACAACACATTCACTGTGGTGTAATGATTTTAATTCCTAATGCTAAATTAGCACTGAAGGAGTTTAAAATATGCCTTATAGTAAGGTAACTCAAATATTGACAAAAATTATTTAAATATAGGTCACTGCACAGATTTGAGGCATAAATATTTGTTTTGGAAAGTATTTAGATGTTATTAATAGGAAAGAAACCAGTATTTCTTTTTCTTTCTTTTTTTAAACATTTAGGTAACTGTGTACAGCTAATTAAAAAGTTATGGGGCCTGATTTTCAGTCGAGGGGAACTGTTAATTACCCTGTAGCTTGCTTTCTTTATCATGAAAATTCTAAAGTGAAATCTGAGGTCTGGAGATTTGACACTGTGGTATTAATTCTGTTCTCCTCAAAGTTTTACAAAAAACAAATCTATCAAAACAGCAAAAGCATACAATAAAACACACAAAAAGCAACCAAAAAATCTAAAGAAGAAAATGAATTGGAATTATGTAATAGGTAGGTAAGCTATTTAAATTTTCATTTGATTAAGAATGATCATTTGTATCACTTCTGTTTTGCCTTCACCACAGAATAATTGATCGTTTAGATGGAGTTCGTTTGCTGTGGTCCTTGTTGAAAAATCCACACCCAGATGTCAAGGCCTCTGCAGCGTGGGCTCTGTGTCCCTGCATCCAAAATGCAAAGGTAGGAAGGAAGAGACTGCAAACCATTCTCTTCTAGAACCTCTAACATTTCACTTTAGGTTACTAGTATTTGATGTATTTTGGTCAGATTGATCTGGTGGAAGAAAATGTAAAACAATATTAATGTCAAATTTTTATCTATCTGTCTGTCTATCTATCTATCTATCTATCTATCTATCTATCTATCTATCTATCTATCTATCTATCTATCTATCTATCTATCTATCTATCTATCTATCTATCTAGATGTTACTGAGGTTCAAACTCCAGGACTTATGCTTGTTAGACTGAGCTCTACCACCTGATCCCATATCTCCAGCAATGTTTTCTTCTGGTTATTTTTTAGATAGTCTCTTGAACTTTTCTGCCTAGTCTGGGCTTGAAGTGTAATCATTCAGCTTTTGGCTAAAATCTTAGGTTTCCCAAGTAGCCAGTATTACCATCTGTGAACCAACCATGAACTATCCCTTCCATGTCCCATGTCCATGCTCCTTCCTTTCTTCTTTCTTTTCCTTCCTTCCTTCCTTCCTTCCTTCCTTCCTTCCTTCCTTCCTTCCTTCCTTCCTTCCTTCCTTCCTTTCTTTTTTCTTTCTTTTCTCTCTCTTTCCCTCTCATTCTGTCTCCTTCCTTTTCCTCCTTCTTTCCTTCTCCTCCCTTCCTTTTTCTCCTTCTTTCCTTCCTTTCTCTTTCTTTCTTTCTTCCTTCCTTCCTTTCTTTCTCTCTCCCTCTCATTCTGTCCCATTCCTTCCTTCTTTCCTTCTTTTCCCTCCCTCCCTCTCCTTCCCTCCTTCCTTCCTTCCTTTCTTTCTTTCTTTCTTTCTTTCTTTCTTTCTTTCTTTCTTTCTTTCTTTCTTTCTTTCTTTCTTTCTTTCTTTCTTTCTTTCTTTCTTTCTTTCTTTCTTTCTTTCTCTATTTCCCTCTCATTCTTCCCCCTCCTTCCTTCTTTCCTTCCTTCCTTTTCTCTCTCTTTCCTTGTTTCTTTCTTTCTCTTTCTGTCTGTTTATTTTCTAGGTTGGCCTTGAATTTACTACATAGCCCACACAACCTCAGCCTCCCAAGTAGATGGATGACAGACCTGTGCCCTCAAAACTAGCCTGCTTCTTTAATCTTGACTTAACATTTTTTATGTTTAGATTTCTCTTGGAAATCTTTATTGCTAAAGCTATATCTGCATAACTCTAGATATTATCCTAAATGTAGAAAGTGAGATATGGCATATGCCAGAAGTAGATATTTTTGTTTATGAAAACATTAATGGAACTCTTTTTATCACATAAAATATTTTAGATCTCAAATGTTCACCTAGGAGAAAATGGACAAAAGGTTGAATAGTTTATTCATATACTGTATCCTATAATTCATAAATAAAAAGGAATCATTTAAGCAATGTATTCATCAACATGATAAATCTCATATATTAAGCAAAAAAGATATGTCAGAAGCACATATACATTGTTATTCCTATTAAAATGTAAAGAAAAAAGTTTAAATGTAAAATTTAAATGACACTGTTTAGGAAGCATTATAAGCCTCTAATGCAAAGATAGATGTGCTTAGCTTGAAGCATAATTCTTAGCAGGTTTATCAACTAGCAGCTTAGTCTGTTATTCAGAAATATTCAACAAATACTAAATATTTAAGAAACATGAGTAGTATAAAACAGACTAAGTTTTTTTCTTTTTGGGGGAGGGGGTCCGGTTGAGAGCCTGAACTCTGGGCTCTTCAGCTCAAGGCTAGCGCTCTACCACTTGAGCCACAGGGCCACTTGCGGCTTTTTTTTTCTTTTTCTGCTTATGTGGTGCTGAGGAATCAAAGCCAGGGCCTCATGCATGCAAGGCAAGTGCTCTACCACTGAGCCGCCTTCCCAGCTCAAAACAGACTAAGTTTGATAAGCATAATTAACTCCAAAGGAAATGGAGATAAGGGAAGGAACAGAATATACCACTCAGTTTTAAAAATTAATATCTCCAGACAGATATAAGGAATAGTATGGATAAATAGGCCACTTTTGAAAACAAAATGTTTTTTCCTAGCTTACATAATAGTACAAGGGGGTTGTTTTATTGTGATAATTCTGTAGATGGGAATAGTGAACTTTGGACAAATTCAACCCTTCTATTATAGTCCCATAATGCCCCTTATTGGTAAGATTATTAAAACATTTAAGTATAGGATCATATTGTCTGTAAACAGGGATAAATTGTCTTCTTTCTTTCCTCTCTGAATTATTTTTTATTTCCTTCTCTTGCTTTATTGCTCTGGCTAAGAATTTCACAACTATGTGGAATAAGAGTTGGAAAAGTGACCATCATTGCTTCCTATTTACCATGATGTTGACCATAAATTTTTCCTATATACCTTTTATTATGGTGAGGTCTGCTCCTTCCATTGCTAGTTTCTTCAGAATTTTCACTATGAAAAGATGTTGAATTTTGCCAAAGGCCTTTCCTGCATTGAGATAATCATGTGATTTTTATACTTGAGTCTATTTATATGATGTCTTATGTTTATTGATTTACTTATGATGAGTGTATTGAGCCATCCTTGCATCCCTGGGATAAAACCAACTTGATTACAGGGATATTCTTTTTAGTATATTATTGAATTTGGGGTGCCAGTATTTTATTGAGATTTTTTTTCATCTATCTTTGTCAAAGAAATTGGTCTATAATTTTCTTGGTTGTTATATCCTTATTGTGTTTTAGTATTAGGGTGTTTGAAAACGTTACCTTCTTTCTGTTCCTTGGAATAGATTGTAGAGGAGTAGCATTGGGTCTTCTTCAAAGGTTTGATAGAATTTGGACACAGATCCATCCAGTCCTAGGCTCTTCTTTGTTTTGGAATCTCTTTATAACTGTTGTGACTTCATTTCTTTATATAGATTGGCTTGACTGGTTTATATCTTCTTGATTCAATTTTGTGGGTCAAATGTATCTAGAAATGTATCTATTTCTGCTAGATGTTCCAGTTCATTAGAATACAGGCTTTCAACATATTCCCTAATGATCTTCTGGATTTCCTGGGTATTGCTGTAATATCCTCCTTTTTTTTTCTAATTTTATTAGTTTGGGTCTTTCTTTTGGTCTATTGGGCTAACAGGTTATCAATGTCATTTATCTTTTCAAAGAACCAACTCCCAGATATTTCCTAAAAATTTTAAAAGGAATATTTACAGAGTAAGAGAAGTTTTCAAAATTAAAAGTTATCTGACAGAATAATAAATTTAGTAAAAGAAAATGAAAAATAAAGGGTAGACATGGCCAAACATTTATCTACAAAATAAAGTCTAGTAGCTAACTAAAAATGTAAACACAGGAAGAAAGAAAATAGGATATTAAAATAGGTAAAAAGGAAGATAGTTACTAAGGGGGAACATGCTATTTTTATTAAAATATAATTTATTATTATTAAGGTGCTGTACAGAGCAGTTACCATTTCACACATAATCAGTGTTTTTAAGGTCACACATAATCAGTTTCCTTAAGGTGAATTGCTGAAGGAAAACTTGAATATAGAGCTGGGAAGGTGGCTCAGTGGTAGAGTGCTTGCCTTGCATGCATGAAGCCTGGGTTCGATTCCTCAGCACCACATAAATAGAAAAAACCAGAAGTGGAGCTGTGGCTCAAGTGGTAGAGTGCCAGTCTTGAGCAAAAGAAGCTCAGGGAGTGCTGGGAATGTGGCTCAGTGGTAGAGTGCTTGCCTAGCATGCATGAAGCCCCGAGTTCGATTCCTTAGTACCACCTAAGCAGAAAAAGCTGGAAGTGGTGCTGTGGCTCAAGTGATAGAATGCTAGCCTTGAGAAAAAGAAGCTTAACGACAGTGCCCAGGCCCTGAGTTCAAATCCCAGGATTGGCAAAAAAAAAAAAAAAAGGAGCAGCTCAGGAACAGTGCCCAGGCCCTGAATTCAAGCCCCAGGACTGGAAAAACAACAACAAAACAAAACAACCTTGAGTACATAGATTGTAAAGATTCACTTTATAGCCAACAACAGCAGCAACAAAAACCAAAAATGACTACAACTCTTTCTCTCCCTCCTTCCTTCCTTCCTTCGTTCCTTCCTTCCTTCGTTCCTTCCTTTTCCTTCCTTCCTTCCTTCCTTCCTTCCTTCCTTCCTTCCTTCCTTCCTTCCTTCCTTCCTTCCTTCCTTCCTTCCTTTCTTTCCTTTATTCTTTTCTTTCTTTCTTTCCTTTATTCTTTTCTTTCTTTCTTTCCTTTATTCTTTTCTTTCTTTCCTTTATTCTTTTCTTTCTTTCCTTTTTTTTTTGGGTGCCTGTCTAAGTACTTGAACTCAGGGACTGGATGCTGTCCTTTACCTTTTATACACAAGGCTAGCACTCCACCACTTTTGGCTTTTTGGAAGATAAGACTTTCCTGCCCAGGCTGGCTTTGAACTATGATCCTCATATCCCAGCCTCCTGAATAGCTAGGATGATAGGCATGAGCCACCAGCACCTGTCATATTCTGTGCTCTTTAATTTAACAACTGAAGCACCAAAGGTCAAACTGTAGTTACCTAGTTATAGAAAAAATCCACTGGACATTTTTGTGAAGATTTTTCTTTAAGTTTACCATTGAAGGTATTTTCCACATTAGGAATTGGGAAAGTAAATTTTTCCAATGATGATCACAAACTGTGACAAAATACCCTGAGATTTGACCTCCATTGTGGTGCTGTTTAGTATGTTTCATGAGCTGTGAGTCTGGTCACAGACTAATAACTGTTTCTCAAAAAAATGTGAGCTATTTGTAAATGGGAGTGGAAAGCCATTGCTTTCAAGCTCAATGATCAAACACATTTTTGGAGGAACTGGCGGTGGGGCAGGTGTTCAGTATTAAGAACTAGCGCTGTAAAGAAGGCAGCAACCCAACCTGGCAAAGCTCTGCAGTAAATTCTTTGTTCTTAAGAAGCAAAACCCACTGCTGCAGAAAGTCAACTCAAATTTGTGCTGCACGAATAATAAGATGTTGAAAAATAACAGGAGCCATGTAAAGAATGTGTAA